GGTGACACTCACGTGTGCCACCGGGGGCCGCAGCAGCGCCAGGCGCGGGGCGCGGCCGCCGTAGGTGTCCCCCTTGAGGGTGAAGGTGGCCAGGTGGCCGTCGGCGCTGAGCAGCACCCCGAAGGGATCGGCCACGGCGCAGTGCACGATGGGCGAGCCCAGGTCCACGGGGACAAAGTGCAGCTGGGTCACTGTGGGGACAGCGGGGTCACAGCGGGGTCACCATGGGGTCACAGCAGGGTCACATCACCCCTGTGTCACCCAAACCCACGGGGACAAAGTGCAGCTGGGTCACTGCAAGGGGACAGCGGGGTCACAGCGGTGTCACACCCCCTGTGTCACCCAAACCCACGGGGACAAAGTGCAGCTGGGTCACTGTGGGGACAACAGGGTCACAGCAGGGTCACATCACCCCTGTGTCACCCAAACCCACAGGGACAAAGTGCAGCTGGGTCACTGTGGGGACAGCGGGGTCACCATGGGGTCACCATGGGGTCACAGCAGGGTCACATCACCCCTGTGTCACCCAAACCCACGGGGACAAAGTGCAGCTGGGTCACTGTGGGGACAGCGGGGTCACAGCGGGGTCACCAGGGGGTCACAGCGGGGTCACACCCCCTGTGTCACCCAAACCCACGGGGACAAAGTGCAGCTGGGTCACTGTGGGGACAATGGTGTCACCAGGGGGTCACAGTGGTGTCACACCCCCTGTGTCACCCAAACCCACGGGGACAAAGTGCAGCTGGGTCACTGTGGGGACAGCGGGGTCACCAGGGGGTCACAGCAGGGTCACATCACCCCGTGTCACCCCAAACCCATGTGGGGACAGCAGTGACACAACAGTGTCACCACGGGGTCACAGAGGTGTCACAGCGGTGTCACATCACCCCTGTGTCACCCAAACCCGTGAGGGGACAGCAGTGTCACAGCGGTGACACCATGGGGTCACAGCAGTGTTACACCCCCCGTGTCACCTCCTGTGTCACCTGCCAATGTCACCTGTCACTGCAGCCCCAAGAACGGCCCAGCAGTGTCCCCCTGGTGCCACCCTCTGGTGTCACCTCTTCCTCTGCCACCCCCTTGACGTCACACCTGGGGACACAGCACGGCCTGTGTAACCCCCTGATGTCACCCCAGGTGTGTCCCCAGGTGTCCTCAGGTGTGTCCCCAGGTGTGTCACTCACCGCCCTGCAGCAGCCGCAGCCCCAGCGGTGACACCTGCACGATGAACTGGCCCTGGCCCCAGGTG